GATTCGTAAAACTCATAGTTATTTTGTCCGGGTCTTGACTAACCTTCAAGACTTAGGACGCTCGGGTCGGGTCGAGGGTACGATCCGTCGGAGATCTCGTGTTTTCGGGATTTTGAAGTAAGAGCTCTTTGGGAGCGAAGCACGCGACAAAGGTATAATTCTTGTTCTTAATCTTGTTTGATTAAGTTTAATATGCTTGTTAATTGTTTAAATTAAGGGGCGGGTCTTGATGGGTTTCCTTCCGCGTAGTGTCGGGTCACTACGAAACCCTACACTATGCGTGCTGGGCATCGCATAGCCCTCTCACCCGCATTGCACATGCAACAACAACCAGCAGCCCGAGATGCATGCGTGGCGTGCTTGCTGCGTGTGTGCGTAGGCTGGCTGGCCAGCAAGCCCAGCCTTGGTGCTAGGTGCCAGCTGGGCAGCCTTTGCAGCCAAGGCAGGCTGCCAGCCAGCCATGTAGCATAGTGGTGAGTCTTGGTGGGGACTGATGCTTGGTGGCCTAGCTTGGGGAGCATGGGGATTTTTGGTCCCCCCCCCCCCTTAGTGGTCCTTACTTACCTTTGCTCACCTCTTGACACTTGTCATTTTTTGATTCACTTGCATTTCAATTTGATTTTTGAATTAAAAATAAATTTGATAAAATGCATTTTACCAACTCTCCCACATGGATGGGAGATTTAAGTTCAAGAGCTCTCTTCCTTATAAATACCCATTATTTGGGTTTGGGAAGGGACACTTGAGTTGAACTCAATGAGGCATCTCCCTTTAGGTGAGAAAACCTCTAAGTTCGTAATACTCTAGTTTTATCTTGGTCTAGCCCCGGCTAACCTCCGGGGTAGAGGTTGTTCGGGTCGAGTCTCGAGGGTGGACTCGGTTGGAGGCCTCACGCTTGCGGAGCTAAGGCTTTGAAGTCCGAGCTCTATAGGAGCGAAGCACACGTCGAGGGTAAGAATGTCATTTCCCTTTCTCTCTTTTATGTTGTTAATTATGTGATTAAATATTTAGTTGCTTTAATTAGTGAGCGGGTCTTGGGTGGGTTTCTCTTCCGCGTAGCGTTGGACGCTACAAAACCCAACACCTAGCATTGCAGCGCCCAGCATGCGTGGCTCGCTAGCAGCACGCATGCTGGCTGTGCGTGGGGTGCTTGCTAGCTAGCTGCACTGTGTGCGTGTGTGTGTTGGTTAGCTGCCCAGCCTTGGTGCTAGGCGCTAGCTGGCAGCCTTGGCAGCCAAGGCAGGTTGCCAGCCAGCCACATGGAGGGATGCTGGTTTGACTAAGTGGGGACCAAGGGTTGTGGGCATTGCCTTGGCACCAAGGCTATGGTCCCCCCTGGATATGGTCCTCACCTAATCTCTCATCCTCCTTGTGCCACTTGTAACTTATTGATCGCATAGCAATTTTATTTTTGTTTTAATTAAAATAAAATGGGAAAATTGCAAATCTCCCACATTGATTGAGAGTGGGAATTCAAGGTTTATTTCCCTATAAAACCAAGGTTTTGGGATTTGGGAAGAACACTTGAGTGGAACTAAAAAGGCATCTCCTTAGAAAAGTGAGAAAGCCTTAAGTTCGTAAAACTCTAGTTTTTATTGGTCGGATCCCGACTAACCTTCAGGACTTGGATCGTTCGGGTTGGGTTCGTGGGTACGAGCCGTCGGAGGCCCTCGCATTTGCGGGGTTCAAGTAAGAGCTCGGGATACGAGCAAAGCACGCGCCAAGGGTAAGAATGTCTTTTCTTCTCTCTCTTAATTGTGTTAATAATTAGTGATTGCATGCTTAGTCGCTTTAATTAGTGTGCGGGTCTTGGGTGGGTTTCCCTTCCGCGTAGAGTCGGACTCTACGAAACCCAACACTAGGACCGTTCGGGTCGGGTTCGTGGGTACGAGCCGTTGGAGACCTTCGCATTTGTGGGGTTCAAGTTTTGAAGTAAGAGCTCGGGATCGAGCGAAGCACGCGCTAAGGGTATGAATGTCTTTTTCTTCTCTCTCTTAATTGTTGTTTAATTTGTGATTGCATGCTTAGTTGCCTTAATTAGTGGGCGGGTCTTGGGCGGGTTTCCCTTTCGCGTAGAGTCGGACTCTACGAAACCCAACAATTCTTAACCTTAGCCGGATGTGTCGCCTCAGTTATTTTCTTGGAGAACGTAAAGGGTTGTTCTCCAAGTCTCAGTAGACGTAGCTGCCTGTTTAGGGGCTAGACTTGATATGCCACATGACCTCTAAAGAGGGCTAATTGCTGATAAGGTTAGGCAAATGGCATGTATGTTTGTTGGGGCACATACGGCACCGTGCCTATCATTTGATGACCTGTGTGGACAAACTGGTCGCCTGACAAGTGCTCATGTACAGACGGGGAATACCTCATCAAGGTATTCTTGAAGCAGTCTGGCATTGTCGGCGTTGAAGACGTGTTAGATAGTTGCTTATTTCTCTTTTGCTCAATGATATGTTGAGCATTAGTGAAAGTCTTCTTACTGCCATCCGATTTTGTATTTTGGATGGGGCTTCCTCTTTCCTTGGTGTGGGAAGTAGAATTTTGACCAATCAATTAAAAGCCTGCCCCCCTCAGTGTGGATGTGGAGTAGGCTGCCTATCTTTGACTGACTTAGCCTTCTCAGTGTGAGAGGGCTTCTTTGCTGACTGACCCTTGCTGGGACTAGCCATCTTCTTAGTGATCAGGTCCTTCATCTCTCCCTTGAAGTTCGTCATGAATTTCATGAACTCTTCTCGGGTGATGTGAGCAGTCTATCCTGTCACATGGGGTTGGTCGGTTGACTTGCTCGAACCCGCCTGGTAATCGCCCCGTTCCCTATTATCCTTGGAACATATGCGTCTGGTGATGAGGGATATGTCTCCGGTCGTAAATACTTCAACCTCTAGAACCGACTCTGTATCATGGTCCGAATGAACCTCAGCTGACAGATGCTTTTCCTCAGGAGGCGGTACAGTCTCTTAAGAAACCATCTTAGAGGTACTCTCCCCACAGACAGCGCCAAATGTTTCGGGGTTTTTCGGACGTCCTGTGGGAGAGTTACGTCACTAAGTCTAGGTCCTTGCCGGCTGTACCTACAAACAAACAGAAGCTCCGGTTGGTCGGAGTTCTGCCTCTGACGATCAAGTTAGTACGTGTACGGAGTGAAAAGCGGAAAGTAAAAATATCTTCTCGGATCCCGAGATCAGGTGTTTTCTCTGTTGTAAGAGTAATAAGTGATGGAATAATTGAATGTGTCCCCAAATTGGGGTAAATCTCCCCATTTATAGGGTCATCGGTAATTGTGCCCTTACCTAGGTCACTCTGACCTAGGGTTTGGAGGGTTGCGCCGTTTTGCGGCTTTCTTGGGAAATGGGCCTTGAAGGCCGCCAATCCTTTAGGGATATCTGCCTGCCACGTGGTAGGTCCACTTTGGACTCTTAATAGGGTGACACGTGTCACGCTTTTATTGGTCCATGTTGCTGGGGTAAAAATACCCAAATTAATAACCTTATATATTTTTATGAATAACTAATAAATATTTACCTTTTTCTCCAAAAAAAAAAGTAAAGGAACCAAAATTATTACAATATAAACTTAGATATTTTTACTATTTACATTACCATTTATAACGAGTACAGTAGCAGCAAGAACCAGCTCAAACATAGGACTATATGCAGTAGCACGGACAACAATAGCTCCCCTTTTTTTGTTGAAGCACTCTACTAAATCCAAATGAATCTTTGGAGTAACTACTCCTCCATTCATAGAGATTGCTCCGATCTTTGGATCAACTGCTCCAGAGTCCTTGTTTAGCAACAGTGGTTTTTGTGCTTTAGTTTTGTTGCTTTTGTTGCTTTTGATCTTCGCCATTCATCTTGTAATCCTAGGTTGTAAGTTCAAGAACTCTAAGTTTGTTTTTAAAGCCCTATAAATAGAGTTAAGCTAGTTGGTTTGAAAGAGTTATGCTTAATTTTGAATCCAATAAGATTTTCTCTCGATACGCATAATCATTGTGATTATTGCAAATCTCTGTGATTTCTCTCATAATCGTTGCTCTACTTTGTGTTGCGCTTGGATAAAACCCTTATTACATTAAACTTGGCGAGTGATGTTTTAAGAATCTATCTTTATTATTTGTTCTCTCTCAAATATCATCTTAAACATTGAATCTTGGATTGAAAGTTGGATTTTCTTAGTTATATTATATCACTTAAGCAATAAGCAATGGGATCCCTAAAATCGACCTACTCCCTCACACACGATGCACCACTGTTTGACATGACATGCCACATTGCGACGTGTCGCGTTGCACTTCCAAGAGTAGTTTCTCTCTTTTTTTAGTACAAAATCATCTAGCTGATGTTGTGACATGCTAGGAGTGCCGCGTCGTGATACTATGTACCGTGTCACGGTACTAATGCATCGAGGCGCGCCACTATTGGCATGTAGCACTGCTTTCCCGTATTTTATCTATTTTTTCAGCACTCCTCTTACTAGGGCCTATTTGGGTCAGACCACCATTTTCATTTCTTGTACCAAATATACCAAAGCCTAGGCCTTCCTAATTATTCACCATTCCCCCCTAAGTAATCATAAACATTCTTACATTACTCGAAGCTGCGTTAATAGTCCACTACGAGAAAGTTGCAAGGTTTCTTAATTCAAGTACGTAGAATTACTTTATTTGATGGTTTGAATAATGCTATTATGATTAATATTTGCTATTATTTGCTTATGTTGCTTTTAATTATTAGTATCATGTTTAAACGTTATACTAATCGTGTTATTGTCATATTTAAGATTTTACTAATAATTGTGTAGTAACATGTTTTTCTTTAAGATGCTTTGATTTTCTTGTTAAGTTGATTCCTATATTATTTTTGTTATCACTAGTTGCATGATTTGATTAAGACCTGTAATTGAAAATCAAGCCTAATAAGATAATTTGGACGATCGGTTCAGGTTCTCAGTAATCTTGTTGCTTAATTCAAGTTATCACAATAATAATTAGATTTATGTGTGCAGTAATATTAACCCGACTTAGCGTAATCTAGTTTTGGAGAAAATTCAACATTTGTTTGTATATATTTTGGGTTAGTTACAGTTATACATGTCATTATAAGAATCAAGTGAAGCCTATAAGAGCGAAAATGTTTTCTTAAATCAATTTTGTACCATCATTCCCGAATCATCCAGTCGTGTTTCGTGACCACATGGAGTTGGCGATCTCATGGATTGTGAATGGGGTGTAACTTTCATGGATCAAATTGTTGTTGCCTTTTGGCTTGTCCCTTTTCGTGGTTGCCTTAAATGATCCATGAGTGTTTTACAAGTTCGTTATAAACTTGTTGGCGGCCCCCTACTTTGTCGTCCCTTGTCGCATAATAGTTAATTTCCACTTCTTACGATTGCCAAGAATATTCACGCGTGCTAAGGTAGGCGCACTTCATACGGCGTCAACTGTGTCACGCCCAAATTTAGCGTCATAGTCTAGCGGAAATTTTATGGAATTTTCAAAATGGGTTATTTTTATGCTGTTCATCGATTTTCTAATAATCTGTCATGCTTAGGACATCTAGAAGCTGTTGATTGTTGCTTGTAAGATCCATTAAAGCTGTATCACTTTTCTTTTTATGGTTGTTTTATTTATTTATTTATTTTAAATGCATCTCTTCTATACTTGATATATTATAATTTATCATTTATATCTCTTACTTTAAACCCCCACTTAAAATCATTTCTCTCTCTCCCATGGTCTCCACTTAAATAATAAAAATATCTACTGCCTCACATACTTTCTCTTTTATGGTCCTCATCTTACTTTTACTATAATAAATTATTCACTCACTCACGATATTATATTACTCTTCTAAAACTCCGTGCATCTCCAAGTGATGCATTTAAAAAAATGGTAGAAGTGGTACATAACACCATTAGTTGCTAAAGTAGAAATTTCCAAGTATGCCCTGTTATCAAACGCAATAAATATCTAAAATACCCATATTACTTTTGTCTGATGGTGGAGTCGTTAGTTTTTGTTAATGTAGTTGTATGTTTATTTTTCGGTTTTTTTTTTCCTTTTGTGTGTGTGTGTGTGTGTGTTAGGGTTTATTAAAAAAGTAATCATCTTTTGCCCTATTATCAGTTCGTTGGTAAAGAGTTGTCCAGGATCGCAACGATTGTCAAATCTTCAAAGGTATTCAAGTGAATCAGATGAAAATCATCCTTAGACCGTCTCTCCGAAAAGGTTGTATATTTCAGCGATGAATGCGAAAGATATACCATAGTGTAAAATCTATTCAGCGATCGCAGCTTTGATGAAGAAAACCCTTATTTGATTTAATTTTATGTTTTTGTTAATTTAGATTTCATTTGTATATGTCGTATGACTTTTGATTAATGAATTGATCTGTTTCAAAAAATATTACTTTTGTCTTTATGTTTTGCACTATCTAAAGTATTCTCACATGTCATCTTATTATTTTTGCCCTCGTCTATTTTCATGTACTTTATAATTTTTTTTTATTTTTATGTACTTTTTTTTTGTGCCTCACGCACATTTCTTGTACTTTTCCTCCTGTTTCATGAAATTCATGTACTTTATTCATGCATTTCTTAAATCCCATAAAATTTTACAAACGAGAACTAATATCATAGTACGGTGCAAGTAGTGATAAACTTAAAGATTTACTCTTGGCACATAGCGCCTATATGCTTCACAAACATATAGGATGACATTTTTGTGAATAATGGAAACATGAGAAAAAAACATTGTTGGAAAATGCGCCAGGTGGTAGGATTAGGTGACAGATGGAAGATATTTTGGGGGAAATATTCAACGACATAGGATGACAAAAAGTACCACTACATGCATAATAGTACACAAAAAGTACCACTACATGCATAATAGTATATAAAAATGTATCGCGGTAGAGAAACATCAAATAAAAAAAATAAAATAATAACCCCAAATTGTCCAACTATGTGCATGCGAAATACATAGACGCTAGATGCAATAAAGTATAAATGTTCTCTATGTTTTTCTTTGTACTATGTTGACAATGGACCATAGAGAGGAACCGAGGAAGGAGTGGGGACAAGACTAAAGGCAAAATATAAAGAGAAAATAGTTAAGGGATCCTTGAGCACTACTGTACCACCACTACACCACACCTCAAACCCCACCAAAGGTCCCCTCAACAGCTATATGCTTAACAAATTTTTTTTTTTTTTTTTTTTTTTTGTGAAACCATATGCTTAACACAGCATATCATCAACACCTCAACTCCCTTTCTTTCCGCTTTCTCTAACCATCTTTTTTCCTTTAAGTATTTTATTTTCTTTGAAAATTTTGTGTAATTTGACCATCTTTTCCTATTCATCTACTCTCTCTTTATTTCAATTTATTTAGAACTTCCAAATCCATGAAATTCAAATTCCTCTTTCTCGAATTAATCTCTTTGCTTTTCACTTAGAAATCCCTGAAATGAGGAAACCCGTATCACTTTTTTCTACTTAATAAATAAAGACACCACTGTTTTCAAAAACAAAATAAAGACACCACTACACTACTCTTCAGTCTTCACCTCCCACTGTTGTTATTTTAAACACTTTCTCCCAATCACTGAGAGAGAATAGAGAATAGATGGGTAGAAGAGAACCAGAACAAATCTCTTCTTCTTCTAAACTCAAAAAAGCAGCTAAGAAGTTCCTTTTCTTTCCTTGCTCCTCCTTTTCCTCCACCTCAACTAGTGTCGGCACCAGCTCTCCTCCGAGCCGAAATCCTTCGTCGGTAAGAAAAGTTGAACTATCGACAATTTCAGACTAATTTGTCTGTAAATTTTCCCTCAATTTTGCTGTATAAGTTTTGTTAAATTAAATTTTGCTATATTCTATAAAATTGATTTAATGTTGGGGAATTGCAGAAAGTGGGTCAGGTTCAGAGTCAAGGAGCAGAATTATGTTCTCCAAAAGAAACTCTAAATCATTTATCAGACGGTGTGGAACAAGAATATGTAGCTAGCGTTTCATCTAAGGTACATTAAGATCTTCCCTTTTTCTTTTTACACCAGGATTTTAATTCTGTTTGTTAAAATTACTTGAGTTTCATATTTATTTATTTATTTTAATGTATGTGTTTTTTTTTTTTAATTAATTTTTCTTTAATTTTTATGCTCTTATTTGAGTGTAGAGTGACAAGGCCAAAAGGGCGTGCATAATTAAGGAAAATTGTACTACTGAATGAACTGAAAAAGGACACAAACATTCTTAAAAATTGGATATACAATAAAATATTATACATCGAGTACAAAGTTACCTTAAAATAATCAAAAGTTACCCAGTATATATAAGTTACCTTGACATAAATTAAAGTTAAGTTTTTTTTCAAACTTGGGTATAATAATTTTTGTCGCACATACACACATCAGGGAAGAAATTTTGTTTAACTTTATTAAAGGAGGCATACTGATTTTTTTCATGTGGATTTACATGATTTATAGATTTTATTACGTTTCAAATTCTGGCGATGGCTATGTTGCAAGCTATATATTCTCCTTTTATTTTTATTATTGTCTTATAGTTGTTTTTTTTTTATCCTTGCCTTTTCAATTCATGGCAAATATACTGCTTATAGAGTCATAGTAGTTTCTGGGAGATTAGAATAGCCATTACATGGGTGCTACTGTTGTTTAAGACTTTAGTTATGCCAGGCTGCCTGCAAGTGCAATTACTCATGTTCGTTTATTGAGCTTCCAATTTTGGATATTACCCGGGTGTCTGCTAGTGCCTTGACTGAAATCACGTGGTTACATTCTTGAATCTTGGGTAGTGTCATTACAATTTACCTTCTGAATTATTACACCATTTGAGCACCAAGCAGAATATATGTTGTGGTTCACTGGTTCTAAATCTTTGATGAGCCTTATGCGAGCTCTAATATTGACTCGACAGTATAATTTTTAAGCATCTGAAATAGTTGTGACTAGTTTATGAATATCTATCTGTATAGGATTAATACTCTGTAGAGATCCAACTCTCCAACATGCTTCTATACGCGTGTTGAATCATATAATCAGAACTTTAACTGAACACGGAATACTTCAGTACTGATAACTAGAGCACAAGTATTAGAAAAGAAGTGTAGCACCCATATGTTTTAATCAAACACGTCCAACCAACATAGATCCCCCACCCCGCTATTATGAAAAGGAAGAAAAAAATGCTGCAAATTCATATTTTGGCGTGGTGGGATGATAGAAGATCAAATATCCCAAAATTGGTGCTATAACAGTAACAAGCTATATTTAGTATCTCACTACTTAGCTGCAAGCCTGCAACATATACAACTATTGAAATCTAGTCTTTAAGGTTGTCTGACTTTTTTCTGCTCAACTAGCATACCTTTTGTTGAAAGATGTAGAAAGCAAGCTAACTGTTGCGGTTGTTTGTGGCAGAATTTGTGCACAATATGTCTTGAACCGTTACTCAACAGCTATGTGGCATCAAGTCCTGGCAAAGCCATATTTACGTCCCAATGCTCTCATTCATTCCATTTGTCATGTATCTCATCAAATATTCGCCATGGTAGCATAAACTGTCCTATTTGTCGTGCGCAATGGACACACCTGCCTCGCACCTTACATCCACCTTGCTGGCTCCCTCTTAACCAAGATGACCCTATCATTCGCATCCTTGATGATTCCATCTCCACATTTCGAGTCCATAGGCGGTCTTTTCTTCGCACTGCCCGCTACAATGATGATGATCCTGTGGAGCCTGAGGCTCATTCTTCTTGCCAGCCACGTCTTTGCTTCAGTCTTATCCCATTAGATGTTCCAAAAATGCCATCGCCATCAAATTTTTGGTCCTGTGTGCATCATCCTTCTCCCAATCCATATCTTTCTCCAGGACAGAACTCACATGAAATCTTGACTGGTTCACACTCACCTTGGTACAAACGTAAGAGAGCAGCATATTTATGTGTTAGGTTAGCTCCTCTTCAAGCAATTGACTTGGTGCTGGTTGCCAGCCCGAATGGGCCGCATCTGAGGCTCCTTAAACAATCAATAGCACAAGTGGTATTTTCCTTGCGACCAGTGGATCGATTAGCAATTGTGAGCTACTCTTCTGCTGCAGCCCGCATCTTCCCACTCAGGCGCATGACATCCTATGGAAAGAAGGCAGCTCTTCAGGTCATTGATAGGCTATTTTATGCTGGTCATGCCGATCCCGTCGAAGGGATTAGAAAAGGTATTAAAATTCTCAAGGATCGTACTCATGAAAACCCATATTCATCCATTCTACACTTGTCTGATTATCCTACCAGTAGTAGATATTATCGCACCATCAATGATTTACAAACAGGTACGCCAATCTCTGTTCATCAGTTTCATGTGGCTTCAACTAGCTCAGTCATGCACGAGCTTGAAGAATTCTTGGGACAGTTGCTTGGTGGTGTGATACAAGAAGTACAGCTAAGAATCGGAGACCAGGAGGATAGCAGAATTGTTAGGCTTGGGGAGCTTAGAGGTGATGAGGAGAGAAGAGTTCTCCTTGAAGTAGACAAGTCACATGATCATGCCTGCATTGGCTACAGCTATGTTGAGGGTGAGCTTAGGGTTGATGAGCAAATTAGAGTTGGTGAAGTAGTGGTGGGTATTGGTGACCCGAGAGACACAGATGACGGCGCAGTAGCTAACATTACTGCCGGGAGAACAAGCTGTGTTGACAGTTGGGATTATCATGACCCTTACATGGCTAGGAGATGGGCTAAAAGATTGCATGAAAGGCACAGGATATAAGGCTAACCAAGCAAAGGCAAATTGAGTTATATTTTTACACTGTAGACTTTAGTGTTGTATATCTTAATATATTCTGTATTTATCTCGTGGACTCCATTTGTGTTATTTTTTTTTTTCATAAATATTATTCTTAAAGTTCTCAAATATGGAGAACTGAATTTCAGTCCGTGCGACGCATAGTTTCGTGTTAATTTAATTACCTTAATATTTATCGCTTCTTTAAAGTACATAACTTTATAAAACAATGTGAGATTATATCTTTATAACTTTTTATATAAAACTTGGTAAAGGTTGTAAAATCTAAATTACTCCGTAATTACTTGCATTCTAAAATAATACAGTGTTTCGTATAAATATTAATAGCACACTATCTAGAGTTACAATAAACAGTGTGTTTTGTATGTGACTAGCTATATCATGTGGCTGCTTATAAAAGAAGAAAACATTCCCTATAACATTGATCGAGTAACTCATGTAAACTGACTGAGTAACCCCTGAAATAGTGACCAAATAACCCCTATTACACTGATGAAATAACCCTTGTAACACGACCGAGTAACCCTTATTTATAACTAATACTAAAGTATCAACCGCTGATATCATTCTATTTTAAAATTAGACACATATCATGTTCTCATTAAAAATTTCCCCTCCAAAACTATAAACGATGTCATTATTTTGTGTTTTATTTTTTTTATTTTATCAAAATTTCGGTCAATTACATTATTATTAGTATCAAATTATGGTCTATTATCTTTAACAATAATAATTTAATTTGTCTTCCTTGGATACTCTTTCATCATTCAACTTTTCTCTGAGTGTTTTTTTTTTTGTTTTTTGTTTTTTTTTTTAATATTTGATGTTGATCTGTCCACCATGGACCAGTTGTGTTGCGACACGTGTCCTCCCCCATGCTAAATGGGAAAACCGGCCACCTACGCCCAAAGACTTGTGGAAGCCCAATCAGCCCTAGGTTGACCTAAACCTAGGACTGTCACGCATCTCGAGGCATATAAATACCATCATTAATCCTCATTAAGGGGGATTAAGCAAATTAATTACTCTCATCTAGAGAAGCCAAAACACATTAATCACCTTTAATTTCCGCATTTATTACTCCTAAAACAAGTATTAACTTGACCGTTGGAGGCGGAGCTCCCACCACCCGGAGTCTCCGTTGTTTTGCAGGTACAAGCGCCCGGTTCCAGTCTCGGAATTGTAACTCTCCCGCAGGACATCAGAAAACCCCGAAACATTTTGGCGCCGTCTGTGGGGAGAGTACTTTCGAGATGGCATCAAAGTTTGTACCGAATCCAGAAAAGAGGCGTCCAGTGGACGACCCTCAAGTCTACTCAGACCAAGATACCGAGAATGAAGTCGAGGTTGAAGCACACACGGACTCAAACGGGACCCTAAGGGCCCGACGCACCCGTCACACCGAAAGGAAAGAACGGGTAGATTACCAAGCTGGACCCAGCAATCCAGCCGGCTCACCGCCTGATCAGCAACAGGCGGCTGAAGGATCCGCTCCTATTACAAGAAACGAACTCATGACTTTCATGAGGGGGTTCAAAGGAGAGATCCAAGAATTAATCAATAAGAAGATGCCTGCTCCCTCCAAGGAGCAGTCGGCTAGGAAACCTTCTCAGTCTCGAAGAAGGAAGCCTGTACAGGGTCGAGAGGCGACCCCCTATCCTAACTCTAGGAAGTGGGAGCCACCTATGATCGACTTAACAAAGTATCGTTTTCCCTCACCAGGGAAGAGAAAGCCCATTCGTCATGTACAAGCGGATGGGTCAAAGAAAACATACTCAGACGCTCGGTTGTTGCTAGAGCAAAAGAAGAATGACCGACTGTCAGAGTCGGCCTCCACTTCAGATTTCCAAGATAGTCTGCACAATACCTCTATGAGGTATACTCAGTCAAACTATGAGAGTCAGACAGGCAGTACCTCCCGTCGGTCTGGATTTCATAAAGAATAGGCGGTACCGAACATGCCATACGTACCGCAACAACAATACATTTTGCAGCCTCCTCTGTGTGGAGGACAGGCGGCAAAAAGCGTCCAACCTTTTGACTTGCAACTACGGTTTCTAAGACTTGGAGAACAGCCGTCCGCCTTCTCCAAGGAAATTATAGAGGCCGCCCAGCCGGCCAAAGTTAAGAATGTGTTAGTAGGCGCCTACGATGGCACTACTAGTCCTGAAGATCACTTAATGGCGTTCACCAACCTAATGTACCTCCAAGGGTTGGATGATCCCACTTGGTGCAAGTGTTTCCCAGCAACTCTCAACGAAATCAAGAGCCGGATCTCAATCGAGAAGCCGGCCCCCATGAAGGGTTCCGCAAGCAATCGGAACCAGGATAAATTCTATCATTATCATGAAGATGTTGGTCATGAAACCAACGAATGCATCAGCCTCATGCGCTACCTGGACCGCCTGGATGAAAGAGGCAACCTTGACTCCTATGTTAAGAAGTCCAAGGGGAATGCTCCCCTAAAGAACAAGCAGTCGGCCAGAAAGAATCTTCAGCAAGCCGACAATTCTGATACAGATGACGCAGTCGTCTACACTATAGCAGGCAGCTTCTCAGGAGGCGGCCCCACTATCAGAGGAAACAAAGATAATATTAGGCGGCTAGATGTTAATTCCGTTCATCAAGAACGGACCGCCTAGAATTCCTTCCTAGAGATTGTTATCACAGAGGAAGATCTGGGAGGTGTTAAGGGGCCGCATGATGACCTCATTGTCATTGAATGCAAGGTGGCCAACCAAAGAGTTGGCCGCATCCTCATAGATACCGGTAGTTCTTCTGATCTCATTAGTAGCAAGTGCTTGGCAAAGCTCAAGTACAAAACTGATTGTATACATCCGGTATCCCACCCTTTAGTAGGGTTTGGAGGAGGTGTCGTACACCTGGTAGGACGAGTGGATCTACCCATCCTCCTAGGTGAGAAAAGGGAGGGTCGTCACATGGTGGTTCAGTTCTTAGTGGTTGAGGAACTCTCGGCCTATAACATGATCTTGGGACGACCCACCCTAAACAACTCTAAAGCTGTCATCTTCTCTTATAACAAGATGGCTCGAGAATGTTACCTCTCGGATATTAAACCCATTGTGGCAAATGCTGGCCCAAGTGGTGAAAGAACTGACCTTGAACCTGTCAAGGAGGATGCGCCTGCTCAAAAGGCAGGCGACAAGAAAAGAAAGCTTACCCAATTGGGGGCCGAGAGAAAAGAAAAAAGATAACAATGCGGATGAATTCTACCCTCAGCCGGCTGGTGAGCATGCGGATGTGGTACTGGACGACTCACGTCCTGAACGAACAGTAAAGGTTGGGACGACTGCTCTTGAAATTTTAGGTGAAGATTTTCACCAACTTTTGAAGGAATACAAAGACATCTTTGCATTTGAAGTACATGAAATGCCAGGCATCAGTCCTGACCTGGCGGTACATAAATTGGCTGTGGATTCGAAAAAGAAGCCGGTCAGGCAAAAGAAGCGGAACCATGGTGAAGAAAGAAGTCAGGCGGCTGCTGCCGAGGTTAAAAAACTGCTTGATGCAGGGTTCATTCGGCAATGTCACTTCCCTGACTAGGTTGCAAATGTGGTACTAGTAAAGAAGCCGAATGGTACCTGGCGAATGTGTGCGGACTACACTGATCTGAACAAGGCGTGCCCCAAAGATAGCTATCCTCTGCCTCGTAGAGGGATCCGAAGAAGGGTCAGCCGGTAATGAGGTGTCTGGCCCTGATGAAGAGTCTCCTGAGACGGCTGACCCTGTAGACCAAGAAGCTTATAAGTGGCCGGCTGCTGGCAACCCTACCGACATGACCATGTCTGCTAGAGATGTGGTTACTCTAAACGCTACGCTCCCTGCTTTCTTGGAGAAGAAACCGGTAGGGGAAGGCTGGGAAGTTATTGTCCCGCCTGTTGAGGAAAGCGTCGTATGGACCGACGATGTAGACAATGCCGACAACTATTTCGGCTGCTATGAGGCGACATTCACAGCCGGCCTCCATTTCCCCCTTCACCCCTGCATCAAAGCCATATTAAGGGGGTACGATTTGGGCGTATGGAAGTTGACCCCTAACTCATGGGTCAACATACTTGGATACATTGCCGCCTGCGAGATGCATGATGTCAAACCCAGCTGGGAAGCCTTTGCGCACATGCATTATCTCAGCAGGGCGCCGGGTGGGTGGAACGCATGGTATACTCTGACCACGCACCCGGAATATATGATGACATTGGACAAACCGTCCAAATGGAGAAGCTGGAAGAGCAAATTTTATGTCGTCTCTTCTCCATCTCCTCAACTTAATCGCCGGCTGCGTAGATACAATAAGCACCCGGCTTTGCTTGGTAGGAAGTGTGCCATCCTAGAGTGCCAAGCGAGGCATGGGATAAAATCATGCAGAAGGGCCTCTTCAAAAAGACAACCTCTCGCCTGGATGATGGGAGTGAGATTATAGTTCCTTAGTTCTGGGTGCCCCACTCGGACTGGTTCAAGGATGAGGCATTTCTCTCCGCCTGCAACCTTAGCACCATGTTTACTAAGAGTAGGTTTTTACTTATCACCGGCCCTAGCCGCCTGATATTGGTATGTGGTACAAAATATTAACCACTTTGTTTTTGCAGAAGCTGCGATGGAGAGGCTACCAACAGAAAAGACACCGGCTACCTCTGCCGCTCTGCTCCGGAAGGAGCAAATTGAGAAGAAGAAGTCGCAGCTGGCGGCTAAAGACGGCGGGGTAACATTTATTCTCTCCTTTTCACCGGTTGTAGCATCTGTATACTGTGTTGATATTAACCGGTTGGTTTTGTATATTTGCAGGCTGGGAACAAGGGTGTTCCTCGCTCTCTGTCGAAGATGGTCAAAAGACCGGCGGGGGACATTCCACTGCCAGCTGCTAAGGTATTAAAGTTGTCGGTCCCCCCGCCGGCTAAGACTATTCCCAAACCGCCTACAGGAGGCAGGCCCACCACTGGAGGCAAAAGCCTTAGTGGTATTACTCCCACCATTAAAGTGGTAGATGAGAGTGTGAAGGAGCCGGCGACTCCGGCTGGCCAGACTCGAACGGGTACCGGATCCAACGCGGCTGGGGGTGATTCTACCCCACAGTCCGACAAAGGTATGACTTTTGCCTTTGATCCCCCCTGGCTGCTTGGGCCTATGCTAGTAAAGACCCAAGCATGCCAATCCGGGGACTCTTCTGGCA